CCATCTGTAAAATGGAAATAATATTTTACAGATGTGCAAATAAAAAAAGCTCTCTAATGTTTGTGAAGTGCAGATCTTTATTTTGAGATAACTCCTACAAATTAACAGACGAAAACACTTCAGTGTTCATGAAAGATATGGATGTATACAGCAGGTAATAACGCAGCAGGCTGCACACTGAATGACAAAGAAAAACAAATACATAAATTAGGTTAAAACAGCATACCAGTCAGCTGGCATTTCCCATGCACTGTATGAGGCATTGAATTGGGGCTGCAGGGGTAAGGAGGTATACAATAATGTAGTTTAAGGCCCAGCGTATGGAGAAGGGGGATGGATTTTCTTAGCTTCTGTAATCTTAGCCTGCTGTTTCCTTATCCAAGTCCCTTACCATGCAGCCTAGCATTTTTTGACACTGTTCCTCTAAAATGCATTGCATGTCTATACATACACCCTGCTACAAAAACCAAAGTGCTTCAAATCAAAACACAGTAGTAATCTGAAGAATTAAAATATCGACCCATATAAAGAATTTTGAGATCTCTGACCAGAAAACCACTGAAAACCAGCTGGTACAAATACTAAAGGTCATAAAATGAACTTTCCTAGATTTTTTTCTGACTTTAACATGAGAAATGGTCTTCAATGTTTATAGTTTTTTCAAATTATCTATGTAAACCAAGTAGTCACCTTCAAGTACAGTATCAATAACCATGTTCAATTTGACTGGAATTCCTTTTAGTTTCTACGTACAGTTGGGCCAAAATCCTTTCTCCCCTCCCTTTTGCTAGTGAGATTTTCCATAGTGAACAGTAGAGACAGGAAGTGAGACACAAATCATAGGTCCTGCACAATCTCCTCAAACACAATTTCCTCACTCCTGGGGTGCAGCAGATGTCAACATAAAGCACTTCTCTCACAGGTGCTTTGGGGGTCAGGATCAGCTACTAAGAAGCACGCTTGTAACACTAAGAAAATAAAAACACAAATATAGATGAATTATATTAAAGGGTTTTAGAATACAAGCCTTTACAATTGTCATTTCAAAAGGACTTCCTTTTTTGGTTATTAAAAAGGATCATGATTGTACAGCGTTATTAGCAATAATACACAGGTATCATCAATTTCCTTGTAGGTATCTCTGTGCACCTGAGTGTTCATTACTGCTGATGATTCAAAATCAGAAGCTAGTCTAACCTGTACTACTTCTAATAAAGGCATATGAAAAGCAAGATTGAAAATAAGCAGTATTATATTGAAATGGCCATTTTTTTCAAATGTTAAATATTTCTAGTGATGTATTTTGTGCACTAAATAGCTACCCTAACACTAGATGACCCACCTCATACCTACCAGACACCAAATTCTAAAGCTATCACTACTCATATTTTTCGAATTAAGTATGCCCATAATTGTTGTCAAAGTGTCCACACATTCATGAATATTACACACTCCTCTAGAATAATTTCTAGAAAGCATAAATTTCTGAATTTGAAGACTTAATTTCTTTCCTAGGCTAGATATTCAGAACAGAAGTACCTTTTTTCTTTCTAGTTACAGCAATTATCCACTAACTTTACATTTCTTGTGCAATATTTATGAAATGTTAATATAAATTCAATATCATGTCTTTAACACTTTGTAATATAATATACACATAAAAGTATCACAGTTGCCACTGAACACACAGAAATTTGCAATAGGAAACTTGTTATACCAATCCCTGGCTCAAATCAATTCACACTTTGACTATTTTTCATCTAGTACCCTTCAAAATGTAGCTTCTGTATATTGTAGAGGAATACATACATGAAACATTTAGGATTAAGACTGCATTACCTTAATCATCATATAAACACAACAAAAAAACCCGTGGTTCTATCCCAAGGAAATTACTACCTATTGCCTTGATTCTGCAAGAAGAGTCATATGAACATTAATGTACGTGGAGTCTCAAACATGCAATAAGGTTGCACAGGGGTATCTGTACTCTTCCGTAGAATAGGGATCTGCAAAGGGTTTTAGTGACACAATTTTGCTTCTCTGATCCTGTTCTGTTTCTCCTAAATCAAAATTTAAACATTTTAGATGTAAAAAGTATATTATTTTCCTGGTATGTCTGTTCCTATGATTTTATTTTTCAAAAGTATAAGAACAGCTTTAAAAGACAGCAAAAGCCTTCAGGGAAAGATTTTTTTTTTTTAATAACTTCAGGTAATATGTTTAAGAAGTTGAGAGGAAAAAAAAGAAAGAAAACCTGTACACAGCAAACAAATTCAAAATGTACAAGGTAGTCAAAAGTATCTTTTATTTCAAGACAACAAGAAGAAAGTATTTTCCTCTTTCAGTTAAAATAATTATTACAACTAACATCTTGAGAATAATTTTTTTTCCTGTAACATGAACATACTCCTTAAGCAGCCAGCCAGCTGTTGTGATAAACAGTGGACCAGTACAAACTCCTAACATTAGGGAAAAAGTAGTATGAAAGTGACACAGTCCTGCTTCACACACAGACACATACTCTTAAAAAATACAATCTAAAACAAAAATAACTGATCTTATAAACATTTTCACATTAAATACTTCCGTATGCTAAATATATTTTTCTGAGACAAATAAATTTACAACTACATAAACCGTGAAAAAGCAACTAATTCAGGATTAATCACATACAGCTCAGAAGAACAAAACGAAAAAACTTATTACAAATCACAAATAGACAGCATCTTAAATTTCCCTCTATAAATATGCCTATTTTTCATACCAGAAAAGTGCATGCTTTCCGATTAAAAAAAAAAAAAAAGGCGCCGTAAACACAACCCTGGCAAGATAAACTTGACAGGAACTACATAACTACAGTAGCTCATTTCCTGCTCATATCTCGTATATTTAAAGCAAACCTCCTTAAATGAAAAATAAGTCAGAGAAGTCCACTTCTCTTTAACAAACCCGTTTTTGTTAAAACGGGAGCTGTTTGAAACAGACGACGAAAGAAACGCTAGAGCTAACGTCGCTTCCTGATGATGAAAACTACCCAAGAACTACAACTACTTCTGCACAGTCCTTTCTTTCCTGTAAAGCAGAGTTACACTCGGCCTCTACGCATGCTACGGACCAAAAGAAAACAATTCTGCTGCTACACACTAAGATAGGGACAGTTAGAGACAACTAGTGGCTCCCTCTGCAATTCACAAAGTTTAAAAATAAAAAGCTGCTTTTTCGAAGTGTAAATGGTTCCGCTCCACGCACGTAGGCCTGAGGCCCTGTTGCAAACAGTGTCTAACAGGACCAGGCAGCACAAAGACAGGAATGGGAGATTAGTGGGAGGGAGGGAGGCCGGGATTGGGGCTCAGCAGGATCTTCAGGCTTTTTAAAATTCAAACTGCTCCCTGACCAATACAAATCACGGACACGCTACTGACTACGACACGGATTTACAGCATTAAAAACACGCCTTCTACGTGACAGCTATATTAACTTCACCCTTTTAAACATGTATCAGGGCACTCGGAGGCACGATAGCAGAGTTTTAGTGTAAGACTCTAAACACAATACACCAGAAAGTTACTCTATTAGATACATTAACCACTTACTATTACAACAGATCTGTCTGAACAACTGAAAAACCTGCTGAAAACCAGACAAATTATGTAATGTTGATACTTGTTTGCCATTTACAAATTTCCTTTCTATATGAAAGATGAAACTTTGTATCTTAAAATTTCCCTCAATTATGTAATTTCTGTAGGAGTATTTTTATTAGTTCACAGGCTGTCCGTTTTAAATCTACCTCAATTTTTACTAACACTCTCAACCCTACTACAGATAAGTCCAACATTTACTTTACTGTAAATTAGCTACCATTTATTTATAAAGACCTGACACTTAATCAACAGTCATTTACAAAACACATTTGACCTGTTAAAATGACACCTGATTACATATTCAAACATCATGGACACAAACAGCCAATAACAACCTCAGGATCTCAAAGTGATATGGCCTGACAAGAAAGGATGACACTTTTTAAGCATTCCTCACTTTTCACTTAATTAAATTTACGTTCGATTCTCAAGTACTTCGGGTTAGATCTCATCTTCACCTTGGCCCCTTAAATGTCATAAACGCAGCACTTTACACACGATCCCTTTCCCGTTTTCTGCTTGTTAGAAGCACAAAATAGTATTTCTTCTGGATTTAGTACATATTCCTGCAATGTATACAGCACATAGACACTGAGATTGTGTGGAGCAGCTGATACAATATGCTCGCCTACCTATATTTCCTGGGTCTGCAGGTGTCCGTGTTGTGTCAATCATCCCACAAGCACTAGTTTTATGCTACAAATATACTCAGTGATTAATACACTAATCAATCGCTATATTATTTAGAGATTAAACCTCTGCACATTGTAAATCCATATGCATTCGAACTTTTGAATGTTCAGAACGCAGCTGGTTAGAAGGAGAAGGTAACAGCGAAGAGAGGTGGTATTTTTGTTCCTGGGTATTTACATTGTCTCTCTTCCCCTATTGCTCCACTTACTCCTTTACCACTTCAGAGGGCTGTCTGCGCTGGGACCTTCCTTCCTTGCCCTGGTGAAGTTGTAAATATGGCAAAGGATCAGTGCACATTTGCGGCTAATTGTATTGTTTCCTCCTCCTCCTGCTCCTCTCCGCGTTGAGGCCTGTCACTAAGAAGCCGCTTCGCCTTTCTAATCCCCGAGCTGGAGTAAAGGCGCTGGCCGGCGGGCCTGCGCTCTCCACCGGGCCTGGGCCTCCCGGCAGCCCGGGAGGAACCAATCTCCTCCGCCAAACCCGAACGAGCAGGAAGGGGGGCTGCGAAATAAACACCTCCGGTTACCACTTATTCCCCTCTACCCCGGATAACAGCTAATCCCCTCCGCTCCCGGCAGCGCTGGGCCGCCTGGGCTGGGAGGCCCGGCCCGCTGCTGGAGAGGGCAGGGAGGGGAAGGGGAGACAAGGAGGGGGGATTACCTGAGCAAATCGGCGTCTGAATCCAACGAGAATCCGAGAGAGGGGGAGAGAAATCCGCCCCCCTC